TAAGAGACCTACAAGACGAGGTAGGCTAAAAGAAGAAGAAAAGAAAGTAAATAAATAAATGACATACCTTAACATGGAATAGGGGAAGAATTTCGGGTGTTACAAATTCCAAAGTAGATCCATAGTTGAATGTATTAATACATCCAAAAATCCACCAAAACTAGTAGATCCAATGTTGTGGTAATGCTGCAGCAGAAACAACTGTCCATAAAGCTGAACTAGTCTTCAATTAGTATAAAAATAGGTAAATCACTACTCTAACTCCATAAAATAAGAAAGAGAGAAATAAGATAATAAAATACTCAAATTTGGGATATTAAAGGAAAATAAGATAGCTAAAAGGGAAGAAATGAGTGTTATAACGTTGGTGTACAGAATGTGTATCACTCTGCTTCTGGAGAAAAACAAAAGGTTAGACCATGAACTTGGGGGAAAGATAAAACATAAAATGACCATGGATAATCTGGTGACAACTTCTAAGCATTATAAATCATTTTTTCTTATATTATTGTTTGCATCCCACATTGAATCAAATAATGAAAGAGGCATGTGGGATGTAGATACAAAAAGAAAATGACCAACTTTTTTCTCAATATTGCTTACATCCCGCATTGGATGATGGAATGAAAGTGACAAGAGGGAGATTGCTACAAAAAGAAATGACTAAAAATGGAACAAACATATTTTTCTCGGATCTCAACCTTTTGCTTAAGGTCAAATATAGTACAAGTTTTTAGTTTATGTATCTGTCATGAATCTTAGGTTTTTTGTTTAGATCAAGTTTATTATATGTTTTTATTTTGATATCTTATATATGATTCTTCAGTTTACTAGATATTTTATTTTTTTATAGGAGAATGCCCATTATACTATTTGGTGATGTAGTTATTTATCCGTCGTATTGGTGTTACTATTATCAATACTTGACGCATCTCTCTAATTTTCAATTCAAATATTATAGAATGTTACGGTAAAGTGTAGTATTTGGTTTTATCAGTTTAATATCTGATATAAGGGTCATCGACCCCACTTGATATTAATTTTATAGTTGTATAGGAGAATATTAATTATCTTAGTTTGATGATGTGGTTCTTCATGCATCTTCTTGAGCTTCCACTACTGTTGCTACGTCTTACACACCGTTTAAATTTTCATTAATATTATAGATTTTTTTTTCATAACTTCAAATGAGATTTCAATTAAATTTATTATAAAAATTAAAATAGTGATTTTGTCACCTTAGATGGGATTTCAATTAAAACTGTGGTTTCAAGTTAAACAAACTACTAACATTAGTCAAACATTTGTAGAATACATTGCAACACAGTTCTCGAGTATAGTTAGAGAACTTAAATTAGCATACGGTTCTAAGATTGTTGTCAACTTCTTTTAAAAACTTCTATTTTCAGATATTTTAGCTTTAAATTGTCTCATATTTTGAAGAAATTAAACTAAGAAAATTGTCAAATCTGATTTGGATGTATAGAGTATCCAAAATTTATGTCTATCTTGTCTAGTTGATTTCTACATCTTAAATTGTCAAAATGTTTGAATTTTTAAAATCAGATGTATTATCATAACAAATTTAATTTTATAGGACGTCTAAGATCTAGAGGTATATCAAAAAAATATATATTATAGAACACATTTATAAGACCAAACTAAAAAATGTCATATCTAAAAGTTTTACAATATATTTATTAGACATTTTTAACAAGTTTTTTAGATCGTTTTTAAAATAAAGTATCATATTAACTATTTTATACGGCACAATTTAAAAGAGTGTCCTAAGATATAATTATCCTATAAAAAGAGGGTTTGTAGGACATTTTTCAAAAATGTTGTATATAATAATTAATATGACACTTTTATTTTAGAAGCGTCCTAAAATGCTTAAAAACGTCCTATAAACTTATTGTAACACTTTTAAACAAGAGATTTATAAT